TACATTTACATTGTTGCGTTATACACAACAGTACAAACGTTTTTATACATGTTTCGTTCGCAAATATGGTATTTAGTTAGAAGTAAATACCATCGTAAGTTGTATAAAGTACACGTAAGTATAAAATTCAATGTTTTATGTTTTTCAAATATTTATTAATCAAAAACATATTTGAAGTATTACATATGAGTTGTATTATGTATAAAAAAATAATTTACTTGCGTCGTTGTCTACGATCAATTTAATATTGTTTATGTCACCCTATTCATTAATTCTCAATTCCTAACAATGTAGTTTAACAACGTTGTTATGTTTTTGCGAGAGAAGTATTTGCAAGCGTCTTCGCAGTTAGAGATAATAATGTAAAGAAAGATGTACATAATTGTAATATTAAAATAAACTGAAATAATAATAAACAAACTTAGTTCTTGATGACAATTTTTCAGAAGTGGGATAATAAAATCCAAAATAAAAAAACAAAATGCCGAACTTTCGCGACATAAACATTGACACACTTAGAGAAGAGTGCCGAAAACTAACCTTGTCGACCGTCGGTAGTAAGACAGAGCTAATAAAAAGGATCGTAAATGCGGAACTCAGTACTGAAAATCAAACGGCGACATTGGATAGTTCGAATGGTGTATTTTATGGGTGCGACAGCTATATGACTCAGGATTGCTCATCATCATCAATTCCGGAAGGTTCTGTGCATGTTCCGACTAACATGTGCAGCCGACAACCTTCGGGTGATGCCGTAATGAGCACTACTCTGCCGATTACTAATAATGCATACACGCATACACCAATGGTAACGACGCCACCGTTTGTGTATTTCACATCGCATGCAGCAACACCAAATAGTTCCATACCAATTTGTTCGTCAATTGCACAAAATGCAACGATTTCAATCACAAATTCAGGAACGGCGACATATTAATTTGCACCGCAGCTTACAAGAATAAATTCGACATCTATGCATCAACGAACTATAGATGAAAATTATCCAAATACGCACGTTTGTTTAGCATATTCAAACGCTTCATTTGCATCGCACCAATATTTGTATCAACATAATGTTCGCGATATAATTGAAATTCTACCAGAGTTTAATCCACTTAATAAAGAAGACTTAACAGCGCACCAATTTGTAGCCCGCGTAAATATGCTGAAAAGCGCATACCAATGGGATGATCGTTTGTTGTTGTACAGTGTGCAGTCGAAATTAAAAGGACCAGCAAAGATGTGGAACGATAGTTTACCATGTGTTTTTTCTAATTAGATGGACTTTTGTAATCAGATAGTTTTTGATTTTCCATCTACGGATACCGATGCTGACGTACTCATGAAATTAATGAATTGTTCCAAAATGACGAATGAATCTCACGAAGAATTTTTCTATCGATTGTTGGCAATAGGTCGTAGAGATCTTATGCAAGATAATTCAATTAATCAATATATTCTCAAAGGACTAAAAGACTATGGAATGCAGCAGTCGCTGGCTAGCAATTTGTATGTGACATCAAATGATCTTCTAATTACAATACGAAGGCATTTAGCAAATGTGCCGCTGCGAGTTCAACAGAGAGTGGATAAAAATATTACTAGGCAACCGATTTTTAAACCTCCAACCTCAAATACAAAAGGCGAAAATGCACGGATAATATGTTATAACTGCAACGAGGAAGGATACGTTTCTATAAATTGCAAAAAACCACAAAAACGCTCACGATGTAAAAACTGATAGAAAGTAGGTCACACCGAAATTGTAGATTTGGAAAAGAACCGGTAAAGAAAATTAACAAGAATAAAATTTCTCCGTTATCTGGCATCATTAAAGAAGTACAAATCAATGGTGTATTTTTAACAGCATTTATAGATCCAGGCAGTTCAGTGTCTTTAATTAGAAAAAGTTATGCTACAATGTTTCGTGGTGAAATACCGTATACAGGAAGTGCGTTGCAAGGGATGTTTGGCGGGGGTTATGAATGTACAACACAGTTAAATGTAACTTTACGGATAGACGCAATAGAATTTTCGGTATCTCTATTGATTATCGAGGACGAATTCATGAACGAGCCAATTTTGGTGGGTAACGGCGTGCTGTGCCAACCAGATGTACGATTTGTTATAGAAGATGGTTCCAGTAGAATAGAGAAAATTGAGTTAACCAATTTAAGCCCTGATCCCAATATAAATGAAAATTCCAAAGATGAGTTAAATAAGTTGTTGGTAAGCTACGCTGACTGTTTTGCTTCCAAAATGTCAGAGGTAGGTAAATATACCAAAAAGAAATTAACGATTCGCCTAAAGTCAGACGTGCCAGTTAGTAGACGACCATATCGACTCCCTTTTGCAAAACGTGAATGTGTAAAAGAAATTTTAAACGAACTTCTTTCAAACAACATTATTCGTCGAAGTAAGTCATCCTTTGCTTCACCAATAGTCCTGGTGAAAAAAAAGGACGGGGAAGATCGCCTATGTGTGGACTACCGGGAGCTGAATAAAATTACAGTTAAAGAACCTTTGCCTATGCCGATCATGGAAGAGCTGTTTTCTTCGTTAGCTGGTAACCGATATTTTACCATGCTCGATCTGATGTCTGGTTATCATCAAATCGCCGTAGAAGAAGGCAATAAACAGTACACTGCGTTCATGGCTTACGATGGCCACTTCGAGTATAACTACATGCCATTTGGTTTGGTAAACGCGCCAGCTGTTTTTCAGTCAGTAATGAATTCAGTGGTTAGCAAAATGCCAACAGGTCAAATTATTACATATTTAGATGATGTTGTTATACCAAGCAAAACAATATCAGAAGGTTTACAGCGGTTACAAAAATTCTTGAATATTCTACGTGACGAGAGGCTAAAGCTAAAACTAACAAAATGTAGTTTTCTGTCAAAAGAAATTAATTTCCTTGGCCACCGAATAAATGAAAATGGAATATGTTCAG